AATTATTTTCCCTACAAAATATTTTATAGACAAATTTTTTCCCTGTAAAATATTTTCTTTCCATCCATTTTCCACCCTTGCAATCAAACACACCCTTAGATTCAAACACGAGACATTGACAATGGAAAAGTCTACTATTTGTGCATGGCAGTATATGGGTGCTTGAGAAAGCGTGTGGAAAGCTAGTTGTATGGCGTATGACTAATGCTTTTAAAAACGTGTAAGATACGAGTTTGCGTGATCAGGAATGTGGCCATGTGGGGGTGGGGCACCTGAAATTGACCATTTACATTAGAGTGATGAATTTTGCTTTCTAAGTTTTTAGCATGCAAAGAATGATATTTTAACTTCACTTTAATTCTTCAACAAATGCTGCTTATCACTCTAATAACTAGGTATTTCGCGAATTTGAAGGGAAAAAAAAACTTGAATGTATAATTTTTTCCGAGAATCTTCTATTAACTTATTTTTAAACACGGGTTGTATTTCATGATACAAATATATAAAATTCAATAAACTCACCTACTATTGAGGGCTCGCAACCAAGTATTAGATGACGTGTTGGGAGGGTTTTCAACTCAGGATCTTTGACACTCAAGCAAGAAGGGGATTATTTAAGAGAAAGGAAAGATAAGTAATGCACAAGCGTGTAGTATTGATGCTTGCTCGTTGTTTATGGTAAAAGGCGTGATTTTCAACCATAGTCGAACCTTGAATTTGGTGCGTAATTTCAGTAAAATTTCGATAAATGAATGTTCGATAAATTAATAATATTGCTTAGAGAATAAAAAATTTTGATCCCGATTTGGATCAATGTACTAAATTAATAATCTCGTTAAATGTATAAGATAATAATTTTTTAAAATCCTTTATAAAATAATAACTACTTAATTTCATAAAAGTTCATACCAATACAAATTAGCAAATTTTTCATTTGATAACATTTTCTTCAACTCGCTTCTTTTTCAAAATATGCATATAAAGTTTTTTGCTTTTCCTTTTCACTCAAATCAAACTCAACTTCATTCCTAATTTTTTGCAACGGACATACTACATTTAGCATATTTTGTAATTTTTTACAAAGTAGTCATTTAAAGTTATGATCGCATAAAATGCCTTTTTTGAACAAACAGTTGGTAAAACACATATATCATCTTGATCATGATGATCGTTGATAGATATATTCAGTACTCATTGAATAATATTTTCATCAATGTGAGATTTCATCACTACATCATTTTCACAAGTATAATTTCAAAGGTACTCAATATCCATCATACTTCTATAGCGTAGACCATAAATAGTTTCACGCAATCCATTGATTTGTTCATCTTCTTTAACTTTTGATTTAACGTTAATATCTTCATTTGATAGAATTTTACAGATTTTTTTAAACTCTTTTCAAATGAGGCGCAATAGTAGAAAAATATATTTTATAATTACTATTGAAAGCATGTTCGATGTGTACATGAAATAACTTGAACGATTAATCTTTGAAGCCAATGCATGAATATTAATGTTTCCTCTTTAATGTATGTATGTGTGTACATTTTTGTGTACTTATAGATTAAATTTTGAATTTGATCACATTCAATATTTTTTTAAAAGAAAAATCCTACATATATTATGGTAAAATAAATAAAAAAGTTATAAAAATATAAAATACTCTATAAATTAATAAATATTAATATTAAATTAATAAATTATTCATTTATCAATAAATTAATAATCTCTCTAAAATAATAATTTTACTCAATTCTAACATTATTATTTTGTAGAAGTTTTACTGTACTAGTCTTCAAGGATTGAGTTCCAAATTTGCAATTCTCCAGTTTGATTGCATATTACGCTCCGCTTGATTCGTGGGATCATATTATTCTTGTTATAGATCATATTTAAATGGTAGCAAATGGGGGCAGGCCTCTTAAAGGGCTAAAAAGCCTTTTACCAAGTGGATTGTTTGGTGAGGAAATTACACCCTACCCTGTT